GATTCGACTGGCTTTTGCGCAAGGGAACCTTTACCTTATAGATAGAACACTATGTCTGGGGCAGTGATGCTCCATATTCTTGGTGATTGGGGGTCAACAGTGGTAGGGCTTCTGGAGTTCCTACTTCTGGCCCAGCTGGTGTACCTCCTGATGGGACCTGGGTTTTGGCCACTGTGTAACACAGAATGTTGCACTAGATGGGCCACTGGCCTCATGCAACATGGCTTCTCTTATGTTCTTGTGTTCATTCTGGACAATCAGTAATATTTACATAGGGAGCTATCTTGAATTAACAGCTTCAAGATTCAGATCAGGCATTACTGACAAACAGAGTAACCCATTCAAAATGAAGGAATCTCCCTGTTGTGTTCTTTATTGCATGCCAGGTTTGTTTTAATTGCCAGGAAGGGGGACATTTAAGGTTCAATTGCCCAAAATGGGAAAAAGGAAAACAAATCTCAGCCAAGACTGTTAACGTAGTTAAAATGTCTGAAACAGCTACAAAACTCCATCAAAGCCCAGAATCTGAAGACACCAAACCACAGAGACCAGCTGGAGTCTGCCACAGAACAATGACTTCTGCCAAGAGGTCCACCCAAAGCATTATGGTGTTAGTTTTTATAGGAAACAATAAAAATGGCTTCTCAAGCAGGCACATTATAACTTCACACAGTAAGCACAAATTTCTTCTATCCTTACTCTTGGATCCCCTTCTCACAAGTTCCTTTTGTTCTCTTATCTCCCTCTATGCTTAGCAACCAAACGAGGCTGTGGCCTTCAGCACATCTGCCACAGAACAATGACTTTAATTTTCAACATATGTCCATGCACGGGCCTCATTGTATTCTTACATGTTACATAGCCTAGTTACATGCTAGCGAGCCAGCAGATAAACTTTTTATTTATTAAAACACACAAGCAATTTTTTTCTTGTAACAGACCCTTTGTTCTTGTGTGCTAACACTTTCCCTCCTTTTAGGCAATGTTCCAAGTTCCAGTGTTGTGAGTGAAACAAGCTAGTACCATTAAAGTTGTGGGAAAGTCTACATATGACTATTGCATAAATTATTTTTAATAGGATTATTTCCATAACCTTGTAAAAACGTCAGAATGAATTCTTTTAAACTATATTTAAACTATATTTTAAGAATAATTTAAACAAATTTCATTACACAAAATGGCCTCTATAGGGTAGACCAGGCCTCCTGAGGACAGGTTTACCTGCTCCTTTCCACTAAATTGGTAGACCTGGCTTCAGGAGAACAGGTCTACCCGCCCTAGTCCACTATATTGGACCATCATGCTGTACTGAGCCTTAAAAAACACACCAGCACTTGGGGGGGGGGAGTCTTGCAGTCTACTTTGGGTTTCTAAGTGAAATATGATAACCAGCATTACACATCAAGTATAACAGAGGAGGAACATTCACTGTCAGAAAACTGCGTAACCTAAGAGGAAGTTGCTTAAATATTATCAAGCTGCCCAAACTATGTATTCAAATATTTATATCCCACTTTTCCCTGGGACGCAAGACAGCTTACAAGTCATACTGAAAAGCATAATGGGGTGGGGTGTGCAAAAAATCCCCCCCGGCTCAATTATAGCCTATGGGGACCATTATAGTCAACAGGCCCCATAGGCTATAATGGAGAATCGATCCAGGGGTATCTGGGGCTGGGGGAGGCTGTTTTTTGAGGTAGAAGCACCACATTTGCAGCATAACTGCTGGTGCTTCTCCTCAACCCCTACTCCAATGTCAAAAAAGATTGGACCACGGGGTCCAATTCTATAGGCCCCAGAAGGAGGTGCCTCCATCCGCCATTGTTTCCTATGGAAGCTTAGTTGTGAGCAGAAATCCTCTGAGCCAAGCCTCAGAAATGTTGTGCGCCAGTGCCTCCTAGCACAGCTTAGAGAGAACTTGCTCCCAGGAATGTCTCTTACTGTATCAAAACTGACAAGAGTTGCATGAAGGTCCAGCCTAATGTTGGCTGCCTGCAGCAAAATTGCAAAATCTTATCAAAGTGGTGTTAGTATTGCTCATCACCACTGCTACCACCAAATATGACGGTTCCTCACTCTCTCCTTTGTCCCCCCCTTTTGTTTCTCTATCTGTCCCCCCCCCCAATTGT